AACCTTGCTTAAGAAAAAATGTTCTTACATAATCTACTTCTATTAACCATACACAGAAACTGGTATTGCTAAATGTTCCACCACCCGTTGGAAGGCATTCTGCTCCGGCTTTTGAGAATAACACAACTTTTAAATTTAAATGTACATGTCTTTGAAGAATGTTGGAGAGTATCCTTTTAACTCTGATAAAAATCAAAGAGGGTGCTGCATAAATTAATTTATTGGAATATTCTGAAGCAGTGACCACGAGGTTGAAATATTCCAACATACTTTAATAACTTTTGAAAACTTAACTCCTGACCCCACAGTTTCCAGTGCCACTAACCAATTACAATGTTCAAATTATCAATCAACGGATTCGCATTATTATTAATAAAGTTAAATTCGAAGTGGTAGCAACACGTTATCAACACACGTTTTGAAATACTATCAATATATACATTATCCATATATGATATGATGCCACGGTCCAATGTATGTTGAGCTTTTTGCACCGTACGGAGCCAAATGTTCTAATCGGTGTGAATGGTAAAAAGAATGTAATTGTTATACAAATGTAAAGCCTCATTTAAGTGTTAATGATCATAGGTTGAGGTTAGTGCCTGAAAATATGTAACTGTTATGCATAATTAAGGTCCCATTCTCAACAGTTTTTACCCAAAGTCTTATGTAATTAAGACAATGAAATGGAAGAAAATTCTAAATTAGTCTACTTGTTATTGTTTCCATTTTTTCAGTTGCGAATGCTAATTTAAGTGCATTATATATAAAAAAGCAACATTTTAACCAAGGACCTTATAACTACAAGGACAATACAAAACATCAAACCGTTTTTAGAATTAGCTGTACAATTCCAACATCTGGCAACTAAAAATCAAATCAAATGTTTATTACAGTTTGTGGTATTTGATTACAGACGTTTGGTTCTGCGCATATGGGGGGGGAGTATGCAACGCTCTTCATATGCAAAGAATCGAGTGATGAGCTTTTGTTAGTAAAGCAGCGCACAGTCATGGCAATGGCAGTGAGCTATGCAGTTGTCAGACAAAGAAAACCGTAAAATTGGCATTCGCACAAAGTTGTTTGGCAGGGCCACATTGCAAAGGGACCTTTAATTTGACAAAAAAAAAAACCGTAACCGTTCTTACAAATAATAAAACAGGCCTATTTGCTCCTTATCCATGAAAATAGTGTTCATATGATAGTAGTGCTTTTTTCTTTTCAAATCTAAGACTGGGGAATTAAATCTAGATAATCTTACCAGATCAGCTATGTTCAAGGAACGCGTGGATGTTAATGGTCAACCGAAGACTGAGAAACTGTGAACTGGATTCTGCTCTCAAAATTCCTCACGTGATCTTGCTGTTGTTCAACTCGCCGTGAGTACTCACAAACTAAAACGTGAGACGCGTCCGCTTGCCAAAAGTCAACCATAGCAATGAAAGCAGAAATGCAAGCCACCCAGTTTCAAACTGCAGCTTTTTTTTATCCCTCGCTTCACGCGGTAGTGGAAGATGCGTTCTAACAACAAAAAAAGCGAAACCCGCACGAGACAGCAGCTGCCTCCTGCAAAGTAGCGCGCGACCACGGTACACAGACACACGTGGTCGTCCCACGTCTGGCCGCATACGAGTGAAGGATTCGAACAGCATTAGAGCCAACTACGGGGAGAAAGAAGTTGACCGCACATACGCGCAATCACACACTCCGAAACCTGCGCGTCGCGCGAGGGAAACCTGTAACAATTTACGTGCATTTGATGCAAATCATACCAAACATGCGCAACAGCTCATTTATTACCGCAATTAAATCAATGCACAAAAAAAAGGCACTTGAAGTTGGCCTGAAAACCCCGTGGTTAATTAAACAGTATCTGATATTGCTGCAAATGAGTTTGTAAACTTCACAAACACGAGTGAGTGGAAGGATAAAGCCGCGCTCAGGTTGTAAGCCTCGGAAGCAGCTGGGACTGCCCAAGGTTTTGTATTCAAGCCCTCTGCTTCATCCACAAGATGTTTTTGGCCAGCTGTGAAGTAGTAACAATATCATTAAGGATCAATTTGGATAATATAACAATGGAAATTCTCCACCGGTTTCCAGTTTGCCTGCAATTACACCCAATTCTGCTGAAATTATACCCAATGCAGCCAACGGGATTGTGTCAAAAAAAGAAACGTGTAATTTTCTTGTGGAGAGAAAAATGTGGAGGCGAATTGTGTATTTATATATTTTTTTCTCAAGAGTTACATGAGCATCCAAGATCCGCCAAGTGTCTTGCAGTTAGGCTTAACCACCTACATGGGTTATTATACTTCAGCTTCACACTGTGCTACAAAATGTATATTTCTACAAGTTAAACCATGTATTTTTTAAAAATACAAGTCGATTTGGGGTAGCAAATGAGAAAGCAAATATCTAAATTGCAAATGCAATTTCACAAGTTCAGTTTTAAAACAGGTCCTGTGTATGAAAGTAAAATAACTAAGTGCTGAATATCTATTACATTTTTTAATGTCATTGAACAACTGCACACTCAACAAATTGAAAATCAACAAAACATTTCTGAAAATGCAATAACACGGCTTGTACTGCCTTCGGGTACACGTGCAGTCACATTTCTGTTTATGAACACAAACACATTTTTCATTTATTATTTAGCACGTATGTTTTTTTCGCAGCTGCTCGTGATCCCAAGTACGATTTTCCGTGTTGGGCTGTATGCTGGGGGCGTTTCTCTCCCCTTCAGCTTTCAAAATTCACCACTGCGGGCAAATGCGGGCATTAAATTCGGGGCATTGAATTCGACATGCAGTCCGAACATGAAAAAAATAATACTTGGGTTGTCTAAGAAGAATGTCACTGGATGGCCTATCTGCACAATAGAATAATATGACGATTGCTGTCACACAAAAGTTTCCCTTCAAACTTCATATACAACAGGCATTTAATTTCAAAATAATGAAAAAGATTTCCCACTAGCATAGGGTAGCACCACATACTTTCCATCTATTTGTCACAAATACACAGATTGTTAGTGTGCAGAATGTGCAGAATGAGCGATGGGAATTCTCTTTGGCATAACTTCACATTTCATCCAGCTCTGGACAGCTGACTGAGATTCCCAGACCCAGCTTGTTGGGCCACACACGTGTAGCAACAGAAAATCGTGTACATCGTACACCGAGGATACAGATTTTAGTTTGTTTTTAGTGTTCATTAGAGCCCTTCAATTGCTTTTTCATGCCAATCCTGGCAGAAAGACCTACTATACTGGAGGGACCACGAGATGTACTTTGGCCTACTCTTCCACGATAGCCAGCCACACTTTTGCTCAACTCTGAACCCATTTATACTCCGTGTGGACCAGAGCGATTAAAATCGAACCATTAATCTCTAGATTACAAGTCTAGTGTGCTAACCATACCTCCATGGCAGCATTATTGTTGTCTTTTGTTTTTTTTTATAATGAATCAGTCGAGTATACTATCAGCATAACATCAACATTTAATTTTAACATTTTACCATTTCAAGTCGTAGATATTTGCCGCAGTGCCGGGAAAAAGTTATGTTTTTTTAAACGAAAGTTTGATAAACGTATGTCTCTTTAGTTAAACCAAGAGAAAATGACTTACAAACTATGTGATACTATACTGAACATCCAAACCCAGCGATCACAAAGGACTTGCACAACACTTAATGATAAACCTACTGCAGTGTTGAAAGAGAATCAGAACTATTCAGTTGTATTTTTTTGGGATGTGCACGACGTGTAAGTCCATTTCATAGATTAAAAAAAAACTTAGAAATAACGCACGCCACAAACTTAAGAGTTGTCCAAAACAGCTTTTGGCCAGCTTACAACTGCCGAAATAATTTTATACACATTCAGCCACAAGAATATATTTTCCTTTTATCTGACCACCAAAAAATATAGATTTACAGGCGCCCAGTCTTTCCAAGTTTGATTTGCAACACTCCTTCACTTTCCATTCGTGTTCCTTAGTTGCCAGCGAGCTATTTTGTGGGAAACATGGAAGCAACGTTCATTTTCCTGTTGGTCCATAACTATGCTGGACATTTGTTCTGGAGAAATCTCAAGGCGGTCCAACAGGTGGGCTCCTTAGGTTTTCCTCATCCGACGCTGAACGCATTGCACGCCAGAGGCAACTTCAGCCGATTACCCCAAGCCATTTGATATGCTCAAATTAATTTTTTATGGCCATTTGATTTTCATGCCGGCTCACATAGAGCCAGTCAAAATACAGCAACAGGCTTCAACTCAGCCTTCACAATGAGGATTTTTTTTTTGATTTTGTGACAGAAAAATGAAAATAATTTTAAAAGACCAAAGTTTACAAAATGTAATTACAGAATGAATATACTTTAGAATTTGTTTTAAATAAAGTGTCATTAGATTACATGGAGTTTATACACTTGTACACATGCGTGTATATCTTTGTGTAAAAAAAATTCTCCCCTCAAGCTTTACAGTTTGGTGGAATGAAATTATATCAGCAAGCACCGATAAAGCATACAGTACGACAGGTGGTATTGGCATATAAGTATTGGCCAACTTTGTCTTCCCACTGCAGATGTGAAATACCACATCCCACGAGGTACTATTTTTTTAATATATAAACATAGCCCAAGGCAGAGGGCCTGGCCAGGTTTAAATATCAGTTACCACTGGTATGACATTTAGGTTAACGGGTCCACGATGATATTGCTCCCCACATGCACTCACACACTATAAACAAAGATCGCATGTATAGCCTTAATAGACTGTTGGGGCAAGAGGTGTTATCGTGAGCACCTATGAAGGTTGGCATGGTACATGAGGGGGTGGTTGGCCAGCACCACGCCCGACCGACTTTGTCTCCCCAGTGGTGATGTTTACACACCACACCACACCAGGTACTCATTTGAGGCCGAGTCGACCTAGGGAAGGCCCATAACTGGTTCAGATAATTGTCACTGGTGTTGGCTGCGAGCGGGAATGTAACTCGAGTCACCAGGTTCATAGTGCAGCACGCTAACCGCTACGCTACCGCTCCCCGCTATATATACACACACACATACGCATATATATACACATGTGGCCAGATAATGCTGTAAAAGAATGCCTGCCTCACAATTGGAAACGTCGTGAATTTTAATTATAGACAGGGAGTCCATAACTCAGCCCGTCATTCTTCCAGGTGTGTTAAAATAGGTACTTGCCCTACTGGGTGATCGATAGTGGTTGTCTTACTGGAAGAACCTGCAATGCCACCGAGTATGGAATTTTCATACTTGGTGGCATGCAGATACGAGCGCCACCAAGTGCTGTTAAGCGAGCACCTACGAAGGCTGGCACGGTGCACCAAGTGGGCCGCGTGGCCACGCGCCACGCAGTATTTACAAAAAACCCCGCGTCGCCTTTAACAGACTGTTGGGGCAAGTGCTGTTAACGAGCACCCATGAAGGCTGGCATGAGATGGGTGGTGGACGAGGGTGTGGCCAACACCACGCGGAGCTGGACGGCCAAGTGCCGAAGGGTCTCCCTCCTCCTCCTCCTCGGCGGGGTGGGGGAGGCGAGGCGACTGGCAGAGCCCGCCGCCCGCTATTTCAGCAGCGACGTGTCGTCGGTGAGCTCGTCGCCGGCCCTGCGCCGGCAGCGGCCGCACTGGCCCTGCAGCGTGAGGAGGCACACGGGCAGCATGAAGAGGGCGCAGATGGCGGCCATGACGTACGCGACGGTGAGCAGCGCCGTCTCGTCGGGCCGTGCCGCGCTGTACGCGCACTCCGCCATGTTCACGTCGGGCAGGACGAAGGGGCCCGACACGCTGGGGGAGTCCCCGGGGCCTCGCACTGCAAGTGGGGGAGGGAGGGGGGGGGGAGAGAACCCGGCACGCACGCGCGCGCGTGCGAACGAGCGACACGCAAAAAAAAACATTAAGATCGATTGTAATTTATAATCGAGTCGTTATTTAGACTTCCTGGATTTTATGCCGACTTTCCTCGCTTGGAGCTTGTCTGTAAGAGCTGCTTTGGTTTCAAACAAAATGTCGTATCGCTCATGCAGTGGGTTCTTCACCTTTGCTGCAGCCTGGTTCTCACTCGTTACACTTTAGTTATAGATACATAGGTTCGATGAACCAAAGTAGTTGTACTTAGGTGCCCGCGCTTAATTTGTGTTTTCGATTATTTACCTTATAAATAAATCTGGCATGTCTCGCACCCCCAGAAAAGGCATCTCGAACCCACAGGGGGTGCATGGACCCCAGGTTAAGAACCACTGCGTTTATCGATACGGTTGGTGATGAGAATTGTTCTTAAACTCACCCGTGAGCTGATGCAAGTGATGATTGGCGCGTTGTTAAGCGCTTGTGCGTGCGACATTTCGTTTGGCTGTGTCGAGTGTTGGGAGGGTTTTATGACACAGATTTGGCCAGATCATTTATGCGAGCCGACTCAAAAACAATTCTGGATTACACAAGCGCCATTCATGCAAACTGCATCTCAAAACGCTGTACAATTTGTACCACGCGGAGTGTGTTGCACGGACGAGCGTCAAACAACAGACAAGCAGGGAGGCGGCCAGAACCAGCACCAACAATTGCCTGGGCTCTGTGGCCATAAATTCAGATGATTGGCCAACTCCATTAAATGAGCATTATACATGTCATTTTGCCCCGGCACCGTACAGTTGAACGTTTTTAACCCTTTCCCATTCGGATGATGTACGTACATCAGTTTTTCTTCCGGTTCCGTTCCGATGACGCACGTGTACATCATCAAAACAAAACTAGAAGAAAAATTAAAATTAAATAAATGTATCCGTACCGAGGCTCCCCCAAGGCCATGCGGGCAGAGCGTGTGGCACAGTTTGGCACCAGCTATCAGAGTGTGGGCGTGTCGCTACAGTTCTCTGCGGTGACCACAATGTCTTTAAAAACAGTGGCGCTGCGCCTATATAAAAGAAAAATTAAAGCCAAGCCCTCTTGCGCGTAAAAAAGATTCAGGGGTGTGAACGGGACCTACCCTGCAACTTGCAGACGTCTCGGAAGGGGGAAGTTTAAATGCACAGCCCGTTTTGTCAATGCACCGCTATTCTAGGGCCTCCACATAATGTACAGGTCATGGGGATTATGTGACCACCACTGCTGGTCAGTTCGGGATGGTCAAAAGGCGGGAACCATAGACGTGCGAGCACAGTACGGTATAACAATGGCATTTGCTGCACCGCTGTCTGTTGACGTATTCTACCAGCGGGCCATGCAATGTGGCCGCCCACCGAAGCGATATCGGAACTCAACCCTGCTTAGCTTGAGGTGTATGTATGTACGCTGAACTTCTTTCGCACCCTACGTAGCCAACCATGCAAATCGGGAGGTGCGGGCGGAAGGACAACATCGGGACGAATTTGGGCGACAGGCGTAACGGTAAGTACGTGCGTGCGTGCGCGCGTAGGTTCTCGCACACGGGTGCGACAACGCACCTGAGCAGCGGCTGACGGCGAAGCCGACGCGCTTGTGAGCGCGGTCGAACACGACGTAGAACCCCTCCATGACGACGGCGCCGATCACCGTGCCCGTGCTCGACTGCGAGATGGCGAACTTGTAGCAGTCGTCGAGCATCGACGCCACGTCCTCCACCGCACGCAGATATTGCTGTGGGCCGACGCGCACGAGGGCGACAACATTCAGAGGGCACGCCGCCGTGCCATGGATTGTGGCGTGCGGCAGTGCAGGGGTTAGCGCGCGCCGCGCTACGGAACCGGTGACCCGAGTTCGAGTCTCGCTCGTGGTCAACACCGGTGATGATTATCTTAACTCGTGCCCTGGTCGACTTGGCCTCAAATGAGTACCTGGAGTGATGTTCAGATATCGCCACAAGGGAAACAAGGGTGGTCGGGCGTGGTGGCGGGCAATGAACCCCCCTTGTGTGGCCACCTCTATTAGGTGCTCGCTAGCAGCACTTGGCCCAACAGTCTGTTAAAACAGTACGTCGCGCAACGGGGGTATCGTTGTGCCATGTACTGTTTCACGACAATGAGCGGAGCGCCGGGCGGCTAAGACGTAGCAAGTTGGTACACAGTGGAGAGCGTGGGTGGTGCGTCTGTCAGTCATCTCAGTCAAGTCACAGCATCTGAGTCATTGCTTGTGTACTACACACACAGTATGCGGGTCTGTCCCATGATCTCCTGCCTTCCACACTGCAGGTGATAGCCTCCGATTGTACCTAGCCTGGCACAAGCGCTGTGGTGACAACACTACCACCTGGTGGCAAATGGTGGCTGTTGTTGTTGTAGAGTGTGTGTAGTCCACAACAATGACCTTACCAGCTAGCCTTCAACACTGGCCTTAGAGAGCAACCACCCTTGTGTGTATGCAGGGGGAACGACGGCATAGTGGTCAGTGCACTGCGTGATGAACCTGGCGACCCGATTTTGATTCCTGGTCGTGGAAAACATCAACTCAACCTTAAATCGGTAACTAGTGCAGTGTATAAACCATGAGCCTGGTATACAGGAGGTCATTGGTTCGATCCCGACTGACACCTGTGTATTTGGAATTTGCATGTTCTAGCGGTAATTGCGTGCATTTTTCTCTGGCTCCTCCGGTTTTTCCTTCCTACATTTAGAAAAATGTGGCCGCTATAAATCTCCACGTGATAAGCCACTTCGTTGAGCTATCATTTGTGGCCAGGTCGCTTCTGAAAAAGAGCTATATAGCTCGGTGTGGCCTTACCTGGTAAAATAAAAATAGTTTAGTTTCATAGGAATAGGTTTTACCCTTTTAACTGGCACAAAAACTGACACCTTTATTCAAGGCATCATGTTTGCAATGACCACAACACAAGCAGTCAAAATGCAAACAAAAAAGACAACTCTGATAATAATATGCACTGTCCTTGAATTTGATTGGTCCACACCCAAGACAGCTTTTCTTAGAGCCTAGTCTCCATTGGTGTTGGACCAGAAGACGCCAAAAGGCGTACAACTCAAAAACAGCGCACTATCAGAATATTGAGGGCTCGGGGTGAGCATTAACATTATGAGACCTCCTTTGCCAGAAACAAGATATAGGAATAGGTTTTACCCTTTTAACTGGCACAAAAACTGACACCTTTATTCAAGGCATCATGTTTGCAATGACCACAACACAAGCAGTCAAAATGCAAACAAAAAAGACAACTCTGATAATAATATGCACCGTCCTTGAATTTGATTGGTCCACACCCAAGACAGCTTTTCTTAGAGCCTAGTCTCCATTGGTGTTGGACCAGAAGACGCCAAAAGGCGTACAACTCTTGTTTCTGGCAAAGGAGGTCTCATAATGTTAATGCTCACCCCGAGCCCTCAATACTCTGATAGTGCGCTGTTTTTGAGTTGTACGCCTTTTGGCGTCTTCTGGTCCAACACCAATGGAGACTAGGCTCTAAGAAAAGCTGTCTTGGGTGTGGACCAATCAAATTCAAGGACAGTGCATATTATTATCAGAGTTGTATTTTTTGTTTGCATTTTGACTGCTTGTGTTGTGGTCATTGCAAACATGATGCCTTGAATAAAGGTGTCAGTTTTTGTGCCAGTTAAAAGGGTAAAACCTATTCCTATATCTTATTTCTGGCAAAGGAGGTCTCATAAAAGTTTAGTTTCATAGTTTTAGTTTATCTCGTGTACTGTACCAGCCTTCATAGGTGCCAACTAAGAGTGTTACACGAGGGGACTCTGTCTTACACACACACACAGTATGCATCTCACAGTAGTTGGCCGATTGTACTGGCAAGTTCCAACGTAAGCTGTCAGGTCAAATCTAAAACATCGTGGCTAGTGGCTAAAGGGGACTCGAGCATTGAGGCGAGTGGCTGGCAACTCGACAGAAATGCAATTATTAATAGACTAGGATATGTAAACAATAATCATCCTTAAGGTGTTCAAGGCCAAACATGGGGAGAAAATGTTTACACAGTATCTATAAGAGACAACCTGGTGGTGATGTGGTATAATTCCGAACTCCCAGTTGCAAGAGGATGATTTCAAATCCTGGGCAGGAGCCAACACAGTCCATCATAACCATAGAGTGCATAAAATAGGTACCGCGTTGTGTGAAGTCAACAGTGGTTGCAAAGTGTAGCAACTGCCCTTTTTCATAGGAATGTTGAATTTCAATCACTGGTTTAAAGTTACACATGCAGATTAGCACTACTCAGTGCGTGTCTAAGCATGAGAAAGGCACAAATGATTTTTTTAAAATTTGTACTTCCATTATTAATCACTGCTAAACCCATATTTATTGGATGAATAACATCATTAGCATCATGTACGTATGGCACTGTTATTTACGCACGCAAACAACAGACGTACACAGGCCATGTCTTCATCGCTGCAGCGTCATTACCCTACAGCGCGCCAACTTCGTGGCACGCCACGCGACAGACTTGCACAGCAAAGTGTAACAAATAGTTTGACTTGTGTAAACACCCAGGGCCACGAGTAACACATCTCGAATAAGCCACAGACAGCAACAGAATTCCGAGTGGCACTGCAGGCAACTGCGTCTCTTTGGTAAAACGTGACAAACTACCCCAACGATTTCAAAACGCCCAACGGGCTCTGCTCACCGCGGGCATGATGGTGACCCTGAAAGACTGGTTGGTGGCCTCCCCCATGAGGTAGAGGGATATGTTTGGGAACAGATGCCATGGGGTGCTGCCCGGTCTCCAACAAACCAGCTGCTCTCCCAGCCAGAAACCCTCGGGGAACTTCTCCGTCTGCAACACGCGCGCACACACGCATGCACACACACATGAACGGATGCACACGCACGCATGCATCCTCCACCAATCATTGTGCACAGACCGTCAGCTAAAGTGCTGTGTGCGCACAGGCAGTTAACAGACCTGGAAAGGCGCTTGGCCGGTGATGTGGCCAGCTCATCGCATAACCCTGTTGCCTATGTATGTAGAACTTATTTCGCACCGTACGTAGCCAACCGTGCTAACTCGCAGGTGCCTCTGATCTCCTCCCCGCTTTGCAATATCCCTTCCCGTCGTGTCTCATTTCCGAAGTTCTTACGACCTCGCTCAATCCCAGAAAAACTTACGAACTCTTACACTTTATAAATGGCCGTTTGCCATTTTAGGCATTCGGGCCTGTGCTCCGGCAACTGAGGCCTAGAAATAAAAATACGATTCGGAAACAATCGATTGCTACCAGGCGTGGTTTGATCGCACGCGTCATGAGCGAGCGTACGAGTCAACGAGTCGATACGTGCCCAGCCGCACACACGCGTTGCGCAACCGTCGTCCGTGTCAAACTCACGGGAGAGTTGCGCTTGATGGCGGAGACGACCGCGTTGAAGACTCGCTTTGGGAGGCGCAGGTTTGTGGTGCCACTGTCGACGATGCTCTTGTCGTAGTTGTACTGCGAAGGGGGCGTGAAAACATGACGTGCTTCAAGATACGCACGTGTAAACATCCGTTCCCGCAGCATCACACGATCAAGAGGCCAAGTGTCCGTTCGAATGTCCCTCGTGGAGAAGTGGAACCCTTCCCGTTAGAGAACGGCCGACGAAAGTTGATATCACAGAGCTACCAATGAGATCCCTTCAAGCAATCACGCAGCAGGGTCGTTATTTTTTTTTACAAATCGCTGCAACATCTATCCCACCCTTGTACCAGCATGGCCATGCAGCCGATGGAATTGCACGGAGCCGAGCCAGCACGGGTCATTCTGCGACCGCATAGCTTGTCTGACTACACAACACACGTTGCCCCGTAGACCAATCGTATATCTCGGTGCGAGTCAAACCAAACCAAGGCATCGCAACTCGACCGATTTCTTCAGTCAGTCAATTGGGGGCGAGACGTTTTCAACAGTTTTGACCCACTGTGACAGGTAACAACGTAAAGTCTTTGAGAAGTTTTAAACAGTTTTGAACCACTGTGACAGGTAACAACGTAAAGTCTTTCCTTGCTGTCGTAGTTGCCTGTCATTTTTCTTGTCAAATCCAGATTAAAGCCTTTGCATTGTGAAGCATTAAAACCCACAGGGTCCCCATACGTGCACCGTAAAGAGATTCCATGATACTGGAATGGAGAGAATAGAACAAGGAGCAGTGATTGAACTTTCCGAAGACTTAAACAAATGGCAGCATCGAAGCACAAATACAAAACACGTAAAAAAAACACGTCAACAACATCTTAAAAGGAACAATATATGACTTAAGACTTTCGTGACTGCAGGAATTCATATTCTTTGGTTCTTTCGGTAAAGTCACGTAGATGGAAAATACAATTAAAATAACAAAAAAATATAAAAACCAAAAACTCACGACGTTTTGATTGCAACACAAGCAGTCGTCATCAGGCAGAGAGAAAAGTGGTTGATGACAACTTTCCAATGATTGCCGGGTTTATAACCGTCTTCTCGGTTGAAATTGAGTCTGTGTGGAAGGAGCCATCTGAAGATCCAATCAAAATCATCACCTTGCAATACATAGCAGGGGTAACTAAAAATATTTCTAAAATCATGAACAAACACAAGATCCAGGTCCGATTTAACACAGTAGATAAAATTCGTGATCTGATCCCATCTGTGAAGGACAAGATTCCTGACATGCAATATCCTGGTGTCTACAAACTAAGCTGAATCTGCGGCAGCAGTTACATTGGGGTAACTAAGCGACATGTCTCGGACCATGTTCAGGAACAGATTTGAAACACGGCAGGACCAATACTTCTGCCGTAGCTGATCATTATTTTAATGCGGCTGGCTCACGTTAAATTGATTTCTTGAAAACGATGGTACTTTGCAAGCCTAATGGCTAGCAACAAAGACTCGTTCATGAAGCCATCCACATATATAGACAGACAAGTTCATTGGAAAGATGTCATCCACCACTTTGGGTTATGACTTGATTTGTAATTTCTTGTCAACCTCCACCGTCAGCAGTGTGGATGTGTGGAGCGAGGTGCAATGCCCCCATCTCTACCCTCTCTCTCTCCCCCTCTCTCTCTAACCCCCCTCTCTCTCTAACCCCCCTCTCTCTCTAACCCCCCTCTCTCTCTAACCCCCCTCTCTCTCTAACCCCCCTCTCTCTCTAACCCCCCTCTCTCTCTAACCCCCCTCTCTCTCTAACCCCCCTCTCTCTCTAACCCCCCTCTCTCTCTAACCCCCCTCTCTCTCTAACCCCCCTCTCTCTCTAACCCCCCTCTCTCTCTAACCCCCCTCTCTCTCTAACCCCCCTCTCTCTCTAACCCCCCTCTCTCTCTAACCCCCCTCTCTCTCTAACCCCCCTCTCTCTCTAACCCCCCTCTCTCTCTAACCCCCCTCTCTCTCTAACCCCCTCTCTCTCTAACCCCCTCTCTCTCTAACCCCCCTCTCTCTCTAACCCCCCTCTCTCTCTCCCCATCTCCACCCCGTCTCTCTCCCCCCATCTCTACCCTCCCTTCTCTCTCCCCTATCTCTCTATCTCTGCCCCCCCCATCTCTGCCCCCCTTCTCTCTGCCCCCTTCTCTCTCCCTGTCTCTGCCCCCTCTCTCTTCTATCTCTGCCTCCACTCTCTCCCCCTAGCTCTGCCCCCTCTCCCCTTCCCCTTTGTCTTCTCCTGCATTAGCATTGACTGCCCCGCCCAAGCTGCTGACACACTTTGACTGCGTGGCTCAGCGGCTCCACGGCTCTTTTGCCCTGCCCACTCACAGCTTTGGCTCGTCTGCGCCCATTTCAAGCCTTTATAAACAGTTGCAGTTGGAGGCTTGACCGCCCCCCCCACCCCTCCTTTTCTCTCCGCCTGATGACGACCGCTTTGTGTTGCGATCGAAACTTCGCGAGGTGTGGTTTTTTTTTATCAAAAACATTTTTACGTTCATTATTTTTACTTCAATATTTCCCATCTACGTGACTTCACCGAAAGAACCAAAGAATATCAACAGTATATATTAGGCAACATTTTGGGCAGAGGTCCTTCTTCATGGCACGTGGAATTGATGAACGAACGTACATGGGGCACGCTTACCTCTTTGCAGTCCATTTTAAGGTCCCTGCCATGCACCTCCATGCGCACAATGATCACCTCGTAATACCACTCCCTCCGTATGGGGCTGTACCACATGTCTCCGATGTACAGGTCTGTGTCCACCCCACCCACAATCTGCAAAGATAGCCGCAGAGGGAGGGAGCGAGATCAGCGAGTGCATTCACATCGGGGAAGTATCGTAGAAGAAGAAAAAAAAGACTCAATGCTCGTGCTTTACACTCGAAGAACTGCGTTTCCCTCCGCGCCAATGAGCAACTGAGACGGCACAAATCTCCATCGGTGGAGCGGAGCACGTCAGGAATTCCACCAGTATTTCCGTGCGATAACTGCTGCCGACCAATCATAAAGCGGTAATCGTTGTATCTACCCAGGAGGAATGATTGGCCGTGTTGGCCCTCGACCAGGATTACTCTCGACCTTCTAATTAGAGCCGAGCGTTCTAACCGAAGCGCCACCACGACAGGTAATAATAATCACTTCAATTACAACACTTTTAAGCGAGTTTCACAAGACTCTTTAAGCAGCGGTTAACTCGTTACTTCCACTCGGTCGCTTCCGAGTATTCTTGCAAGTGGACGAATAGGAGCGCCCAAAGAAACCAACATGCACGCAAAAGGGTCGCACACACGCTGAAGGGTTATAACTACAAGGGACACCCCCGTGTAGCCTTTAACAGACTGTTTGGGCAAGTGCTGTTAGCAAGCGCCTGTTAAGGCTGGCACGGTGCACCAAGAGGAGGGTGGCCAGCACCCATGCCTAGCCACCTGTGTCTCCCCGATAACAATGTGTTGACCAAGGGGTAGATCAGGACCGGTGCATATATTTGTCACAGGTGTTGGGTGTGAGAGGGAACCGAACTCGGGTGATTGGGTTCGGAGTGCAGCACGAGAAGGTGTGTGGCCAGCACCACGCCCAGCCACCTTTGTCTCCCCCATGGATACACACACGACACCAGGTACTCATTTGAAGCCGATTCGCCCCAGGGGAGACCCAGGACCAGTTCAAATAATCGTCACCGGTGTTGCCCGTGGGGGGGAACCGAACTCGGGTCGCCGGGTTCGTAGCACAGAGCGCTAACCCGCCACAACTGCCGCTCCCCCCAAAGAATCGCAGACGCGCGCACACACACACACAACGGGCACGCGCAAACACACGCAAACCAGGCGCACCATAGTGCCTCCGGCCGTGCCGTCCGTGGAGTTTGGGTCGGGGAAGAGGCCGCACAGCTGAAGCGAGAAGACGTTGGGGATGCCCGTCTGCTTCACCAGCGAGTCAAAGAACGGCTCCAAGGAATCGTCAGGCTGAACGGGCATGACAGGCAGCAGTATCATCATCATCATCATTACCGATAACACAAGCGTCACCATGAAAAAAGCACCTCCAGCGTCACATTAACCGGCATCATTATTATTATTATTATCGCCATCGGTAACATCACCATAATCAGCACGATCATGTGCACCACCACATGGGTATGCGTCCCCCGCGCCCACGGCCAGCACCCCCCTGTTGCGGTTTAAACCCGGCAGGCCGCCCTGGTGAATAGAACAGTAAATATGCGTCCGCTTCGCAGTAGAGGGTTGATCCCGTGACACGATTCAAAACGAGGGGGTCACGGTCAACGTTTGACAAATTCTAAAAATCACCCCGCAAATCGCTCAATTTGGTTTGGAATTAGCAATCATCACCTCCCACTGGCGACGACTGCAAGTACAGCAAGAGTCCCCGCTTGACACGGGGGTTGCGTTCCTGCAAACAGCCGCGTAAAGCGAATTTTCCCACAGAGAACACTGGCAAAGGTGGTGGGGGTGGCCATTCCGGCCCCCTGAGTTTATTCTAGTTCTTATTTGACAGCACATTCTTTTACACGTTTCTTTTTAAAAGTGTCGTCGTGTTTATACGGTATATATATAAAAAGAAAAAATGCCATGTCCGACAGGCATTTGATTAAATACAAAAGGTGCGAGAGATATGGCGACTGAAAGGCGACGGACCGTACGAAACGATGACGCCTCACGCACACAAAGGTGCCGGAACAATGAGCGAGGAAGGCATCGAACCCTGCAGCCGACACCCATGTAGCAGCTCAGAAAAGTAGTCCCTCGCGCGCTAGACTCGCGTTATAGCGGGCGCGGTGAGCGTTAAACTTAAAAACGCTCCATAAAGAGGAATAAAAACACGCTCAAGCGAAAACGCGTCGTGTGAACTACCACACGCGTTAGAAACGAGGATTTTACCGTGCCGTGCAGGCCAGGTGATTTTGCCACTTAAAAATGCACCGAGATGACGTGTGATGCAAGTCGCTTATCGCGTGTGTGAAGCGCCTGTCGAGGAGCCCCGGCGTGAAGGAGAGCGGTTCTAAAACGAACCATCGTCGTCGTCGTCATTACCCGCGCGATGTTGGCATAGGCGAGCCCCAGGATGCCCTCCCAGTTGGAGCCGTTAATGAAGAAGCTGTTGGAGTAGGTAATGGCGGCCACGTTGGCGCGGACGCTGGAGTTGCCACCGTGCGGCACGGAGACCAGGTCCGTGCCCAGGTCTCCCTGCCAGTTGCCCTGCGTGTACGGCACGTACACGCTGGAGTGGCTCGGCCGGTACGTCGATGACCTGCGGCGTAGACGCACAACAGAGCGGGGCGTTGCTTTACAAGCGTCGGGATGCGATGGTATCTCAAGGCTCTGCGCAACAGCGGAAGGCGTCATATTCATTTATTATAATTGCTATTATCACGACCCGCAACACCACTATCCATGATAATCAGCATCGGTGTTATCACTCGCATTGTCAGCAGATGTATCACTGTGAGCAAAACCAGAGGCATCATCAACACCGGCACAACCACCAATACAGAGCCATATAAACACCTGTACAATCATCATCACTAGTAAAGTCATCATCTTTTTTTTTTCCAGCATGCCAGACATCCCCTTTAAATTTAAAAGAATCTCTCGCCAATCAGTCTGGCTCCGAGAGGCTTTACTGTGCATCCTGTCACACAATTTGCGTAGGCGTTGGGTTACACAGGACGAGTCGATATCTGATGTGCGCACAGCAAGCAAGGTATGCAAATTTTGTTACCTTCCCTACATCGCGATTGCTCAAAGGTCACAACTGGTTTAAGTGTGCATTTATATTTGCACGTTTCATATATTTATTTGCACGTGCATGCAAGCGCACAAGGATACCAAGAAGCGGAGCACCTTTTACGCAGGCCGAGATTGAACCACAACGCCCGACGGCACTTACCGCTCGGGGCGGTAGTAGCGCTTGAGGAAGAGGTGTGGTGCAGCACCCACGGCAAAGTTGCTGCTGCCCGTGTCCACCAGAATGTTCAGCTGCAAGGGTGGGGAAAACACAGAGGCCGTGGTGATATTTTCATTTTGAAAGTGGCAGGCGCCTGCACTTAATCGATTCACAAGCAGGTGGCAGCCCAGCGTGACAGAGTACAGTTGTCCCTCTCTATAACGCGGTTCTCACCTTTCGCTGTTTCGCGGATTTTTTTTAGTGTAATTTTGCATGCTTTTTTTTCCTGCGTACAGTATGAACGCGCATTGTGTTCGGCGTCCTGATTGGCTAAGGGAGTACAGAATGCGTTCGGCTAGCCAGATTTACAAAAATGTTTGGGCTTGAAAACAGGTTTTGATCTTTGGTTTCATTCACTAATATTGTACTTATTTTTTTAAATCTGCGAAAGTTTGAACTTTGAGAGTGTTTAAATAAGAGAGAAATGTGAGAAAATGTTAATGCCTGTCTGAGAAAAGTGTATAAAAGTGTGTGGTTAGGGGTTTTACGGCCTTAAAACATGTATAATAATTGTAAAAAATAAAGCTGATTACTTCGCGGATTGCGGGTTATTTTTAGAACGTATCCCCCGCGATAAACGAGGGACCACTGTACTCCTTTGGCGAGGGAGATATGAACATATTTCAGTTGCATAATTATAATCGCGTCATTTGTGAAAATGTATATGGCGTCACTCATGCAAATCTGACGATCACCAAGGAACCACGGACAAGATGAAAAAGGGCAACCATGCGGTTAGCTGGCGCAAAATATTCACAAGCTCTGCAGTCCTCTATATATCGAGGTGTTTTCAACTAATTAAGGTGTGTATATTCACATGGGAGGAAACCCGAGCACCTGGAGAAAGAAAACCCCACACGTGCTAAGGGGCAATATTCTATCCAATACAGAAGGGGCAGATGTTAGTTTATACTTTACTGTATCGTCTTCTCCTAGCAGGCCAGGGCATGGCACCTCGACTCCCATTGGAAGGGAGTTTCACAACCGTTACGCGATCAGCCAACCCTCGCCTCCACAGTACTGGATTACAGGTGTTGGCCACCACTGCCCGGGCATGCACGCATTACCTATGTTTTACATCTATATGTATAAAAGACAAACATTTGTTGGAGGGCAATCCACCAGCAGTGGCAAGAGCAAGGAACTGCAGGGTCTGCACCTTCACATGACCATTGTTACACACGTACATACAGCGAGTACATACATGCCACCCTACACGCACGTATATATATATGTACAGTCCTCTGTGAATACACTGCTAGATAAGGGCTTCAACAATACCGAGGGGATCATGGGAATTATTTGGCTATACTCCACCATGCTGCTCAGTGCAGGTTTAAGACAGGGAATACACACGTGGGAGCACAGAAGTACAGTAGAACAATGTATTCTGCTGCACTGCCCTCTGCTTCCCACCACATATCCTCAAAGCTTACAAAAACCCTGTTATATGCACGGTGGTCACCTATCCAGGTGCTACCCAGGACCAACCGGCTTGACTACCGAGGTTTGATGGGATGGGGCTCGTAATTTTAGACGGTCATATGCATGGATTATGTACACGTGAACATTAAACAAGGGGATTTCCTGCAAAAAATTAACATACGGCAGTGCTCATCTCCAGTTTAAATCCAGTGATGGAAATTCCACATTCCTAAGGCAGAGGTTGAGTCTTTAATTAAAAAAAAAGACTAAATACTGTTAACTCCCCACAAATATATTCTACTTTTGTTAACCCTGGAGGAATGAGAGGGCTGGCTGAACAGACCCTCATCGAGGCTTTTAACCCTCGCCCACATTCAATAACGCTCTTACATTACAACTGCCTCTCCTTTTAAACTCCGTATACAAAAAAAAACACCCGATCAACCCCTCCGGCTCAACGTAATACACCGCTGTCCATTAAATATACTGGGGCCGTGCGGTCAACCCGGCAGTGGCCGCGGACAGCAATCCCAACTGACAGGGCCACCTCATTCAAATGTCACGCGATGTCGTTCCCGGACTCGCAAGCGTGGCTCAGTGGCCACGCGCATTTTGTGCTTCCACGAAAAATTTCGCGGGGCCACGCTCACCAGAGGGGGTGGAGTGGGGGGTCACACATTCCTCAGCTACTGACGAATCAAGTGGCTGGCTGACGACAAACTAAGGACCTCATGACTGCGGATCACATGCCGTCGCATAAAGCCCTCACCCATTTACTGCAATGGTGCCAGATGAACCCACAGTTTATAGTTTGATGATGATGATGATGATGCAAGTTAAACGAAAAAGTGCAGCCCTGCAGTTGCCTGCTCCCACCACTGCAGGCAGACAGACCTCCACCAGAGGGATCCCTAGAGAGCCCTGATAGTGTGTATCCTTGGCCTACTCTTCCACACTGGCCCGACGTCTTTGAAGACGGTGATGATAATAACCTTGTTTTAAAGACAACATAAGGGGCATGGGAAAGAATATGGCCTTGCTGAACGTGTTAAAAAGAAGACTTTGATATATATGCATTGTGGCTGTGTTGATAGAATTTGAGTGCTGTGAATTCCACTAAGGTGTAACCGGATACTTAATATCCTTGTCATCTGCACCATTCATACTCGTGTGTGTTAAATGTCAAGTCATGTACAAATATATAGCTCATTAAAATTTAAGCAATACGTTTTTTTTTTACACACCAAAACCAACATAGAAAAATCTGCATCGTGCCACACACACAGACACACTGGACAGATGTGCATGCTCAGTCTCACCAAAAGATCCTTTGCATAATCTCAAAGCCATATGAAAGCACATATTAACGAGCATTGCTTAAAGGGAACACCACCAAGTTCATTACTCCCATTGAAAAAGGCACTTAGAATCTCCATTGGCCACCGGTGTATGAAAAATTGGATTGGGCCCCTGCAGATGTATTGTGCTGGAGTGGAGCAATTACATTGGTACACCAAGACTTCCTTTTCGGTGAAGGCAACGATGCGTAGGATATTGATTGCGCTGATAATTTTCCTCTCCTGATGATTTATATTACTTGGCACTACAGTGGGAATAAAGTCCACCGGGTCGATGGTTTTCTCCTCCCAATAAGTACAATGAGGAGAAGCTGGGTTTAAGCCGTACCGATTGATGCGGGACAACCTTTATCGCCCCAAACACTACCGAAGTATTCCCTGCTGGTGACAGGGCAACCAGCTGCCTGAGGCACATCTACAGGGAATTATCAGATCGGTCGATAAGCAAAGTAGCATTTCTAAATAAAAAACAGACTTTCCCATTGCAGGTCTGTCGAGAGACATAAAGGAAAATACGATAAATGCTAAAGCTTTAACTTGACATGCAATAAAAACAAAATAACCTCAGCATATCGGTGCATGCTTACTTTAGTGAAATCCAGGACGTGTATTGTGAGTGCAGATTAATTACAGCAGATGCCCCAACACATTTGCTTATCGTCGTTTTTTTAAGAGTGAATGTTTTTTCATGTATATTATAAACGAATTCTAACCACAACTTGCACGGGAAGTGGAGGGACAAAGCTCTTGGTCGTAAGATACGGGGATGATTAAATAGAGGGCAACGAGAAGTCAAACATAAGACCATATTCAAACGTGGAAAAAGGTAAAAGTCACATTGCAATGAGCCCACACTACTGTAACACTACAGACCTATTGCTGTGTAAGGATAAACTTGACAATGCACAACTCAGGAATGCTCCAAGTCAGCATCCTGTGACTCAAGGCACAAAAACGTGGCCTCACATAGGAATGACTGCAATATTGTTTTTCACGACTCTTAAAAGCTGGTCGAAAACACTCTAATAAGCAGTGTCTTTTTTTCACATGTGACTCTGTGCCGCGTGTTCTTTTGCCAGGTTTGGCCAATGCCAAAAAAAAACAGAATAACCTTTGTGCTAGAAATGTTGCTCACAGAATGGCAATTTAAGTAATTTGCCTTTACATGGAAAATTGCCCTGTAGGGATGGTTACATCACTGCGCAGCAGCATTCCATACTAATCAATGTAATGCACTCTTGTGGATCGGTCTGTCCAGTCCCCTTGAAAATCGCGGCTTATAAACACCGGGAAACGCACGCCAATTCTGCGTAGGGCTTCTTACAATCAAGTAAATGTTGCGCACTCCAAAGTGGTCACTAATGTGCACCTCATTGTGGTATACAAATCAGAATATTTATTCATACTGGAGGATTCCGATGAGCTACAAAGCTCTTTTTCACAGTTGTCCAGTAGGGGCAGGTCAGAATAACAAATGTATTGCATACCTATGTAAATGTATTCATTGACCTTCACCGTGATTACGTAATATTTTATTTATAACACAGTAATTGTTTTTGAACGTCTATATTCATGGATTAAAGCATGTAACATATTTGACCCAATAGTTTTTTTGGCACTTCTTCCGTATAATAATGCATGGCCCTTGGTCAATCCACCGATGGGAAAAGGAAACTCATTCTGCGTTGGGAGTAAAGCGTTGATTGACCATACTTCACCACGCTGGTCATGCAGGTTCAAGGGGGGACCCCCCCCAGGCTTGGTTCAGATAGCGCTCGTCACTGCAGTTAGCCGCGGCCGACAATTAAATGTAGTTCGTAGCATTTCTATTCCAGCGGGCTAATTACTGTCACCATTCCACTCCTCCACTGTATGTTCAACACCATTGATACACATTTTGAGTCACCATATTGCCAAGAGTGGAACATTTCAAATCATTCTGTTCTGCGTGTTGTGGCTTAAAAAATTAAAAAACATTTTTAATGTACAAGTATCCATACACTCGTGCAACAAATCACAGCGAATGTATACGTCATCAAATACTGTCCAATCAGTCATTTTACATGGAGTGCTCTTGCCAACATTGTCTGGTAATCCGGAAAAAATTTGTTTTTAAGAAGCTTGACTGCCGATGAGACCCAATAGGTCAAAACGGTGGCGAGTTTGCGTACGTAAAGAAACTCTGCTTCCAGGTCTAGGAAGCCGATAAGCTGATGGGCACAAACACAATTTATTCATGTATCAGACACAGAATAGAGTTCTGATTATGTTTACTATGCAATAAAGAGAGGACATGTGTAATGAGATGATTCACGTCCTAAATAAATATTGCCTCCTTATATATTTGTCCATCCACTTAAATGTATTTTTGCCACAACTTCGTTGGTCACAGAGTCTTCTGGGAGTGAATCCTATGAGCAACATTGGTCGAATACAAGCAACCTCTGAACCGGCTGTAACCTTCAGTGCCTCTTCAGTAGTCATTCTTGCTTTAACCAAAGCTGTTGAACTGAATCATTTGGCGGGACCCCAGGGTCCCGAAAAACTCAGGTCAATAATAATTATTATTTTTCAGTCCGCCCACTCGTGATCCCGCAAGGACACCGGACGGACCCCGCCAGGGCTGCTGTTCATTCTTGTGCGTGGCCCCCGTTCAGCAATGATGGCGCCTGTTGGCACCATCACGACGAAGAAGCTCAAGTCGCTCGCCAAGAAGTACTTTTCGATCCCCGCCGATTAACCTCGACTACTATCCAGCCATCCCGCCCAATCTCGTCGCCGAGTTGGACGACGACAGCAACGCGCCGCCCGCCCAGACTCGCCGTGCCAACAACAAGCGCCAGCAGCAGCAGCAGGCGGCGATCACCACGATGGGCGCCACCCCACCGGCCAACGCAAGCCCCGGGGGGCGTCCGCCGCAGTCGCGCGCGGCGACGACGACGCCCTCCGGTCAGCCGTCGATCCTCGGCTTCTTTGCCAAGGCGGGCCGGCCCCCGCAGTGAATTTAACGTGTTTATGTAATTTTTCAACTTTTTACGAAACTTAGTGCCCCGAGTAGCTCTCGACGAGGCCAATCGATTGACCACTAGTTTTGTTGTCGGTAAGGCAGCAAGACTCGTGTCGCTACGAGGGTTTTCCCACCCCGAGGCAGTGATGGGACCCCGGGGTCTCGCCAATTGCTTCAACTGCCAGATGTTAATGGGCAGACCCTTTCTGATGAGGGCTATGTTTTATATAAGTGGCTTGCTCAGAAAACCGACACACCTTTAAAACAAGTAGAATATAAAACACAATATTTTGGATCTCACGAATGCACAGCAAAAGAACGTAGTACACTGTTATTCAGGCTCAAAGCCCACATCCAAAACATGCACACTCATTAAAAAAAGAACAGGTTAAACACAATAGGACCATTCCAGATTATCACCCCAATTGTACAAGCATAGTTTACTTTTGTCATCATCTTCCTTTGGTTAAGATTAGCACCGTGTACACATTACGAATACACGCGGAGTGAATTAGTTAGGTCAACAAATGTCTGCTGCCTTAAGAAGATAAAGAGGTAGATAGAGATTTACAACAGTGAGGGAGAAGCTACTGGAATGTTTGAAATCTCAAAAATAAACGAAGGATATTAGTCTATAGCAGGGGACATGCAGTTCACAGGTCATGGACCTTACCCAGAATTCAAGTTAAATATCTGTCTTATACGAGTGTCATGAATACAATGAAAAGCAGTGGCAGTGTGAATTTCAATTCATGTGAAGGCTGGAATGAACCAACATGGCACAAATGGGACAAACATTCCCTACATCTTGGAGACAAATGTGCCAATTATACAATAGCTATACGTTCAAGTTTGTAAAGCATTCGATGACTGACAGGCAGGAAACATTATTTATAGAGAAGGGAAGCACACGGATATTGTTGAGGCTAAAGGTGCAGCACTACAATATTTTGCCCGTGTCACTGCTGGCAGAAAGGTCTCCACTCGAGGGAGCACCTGAGATCCCCTCTAGAGAGTATTTTGGTCTACTCTTCCATGATAACCAGATGTCTTGGAAGATGGGGGAACACCCACACTTTACCCCACCACGTGCAACCTGGTGATGGACGAACTGTGGCATACCCATTTATACTTCTTTGGTTCTTTCGGTAAAGTCACGTAGAATGAGAATAAAATAATAAAATAAAATAATAAAATTCTCACGACGTTTCAGCCACAACACAAGTGGCCTTCTTCAGGTGAAAGGGACAGACCTGTTGGGACGACAGAGCTTCAGAGCTTCATTGAAGCTCTGTCGTCCCAACAGGTCTGTCCCTTTCAGAGCTTCATTGAAGCTCTGTCGTCCCAACAGGTCTGTCCCTTTCACCTGAAGAAGGCCACTTGTGTTGTGGCCGGAACGTCGTGAGAATTTAATTGTTTTATTTTATTTTATTATTTTATTCTCATTCTGCGTGACTTTACCGAAAGAACCAAAGAAGATGAATCCTTGCAGTCACGAAAGCTTTAAATCGCCATTTATACTTGTTGGACGGACAGACGTTGATAGATTGAGGAATCTTGCATCATTGTTTCAACTGCCACGTCAGAAGACAGAATCAAACTGGCAACCACTGGATTGCAAGTCCAGTGCACTAACCATTACGACACCACAGCAGCCTCGCAGACTTCTGTACGAAGTTCAAATTAAATGGCGCCACAAAGTTACGTGGTGCCATCTTCAACCGACCATTGCTTCACTTGACGTTGTCCCGCACACACGTAATCCAGTGCGTTCTTTGGAGGTGAGGGTTGGTGCATTACACAGGAGTTGGCAAAACAGCAAATGGAGCTGTTCCCTTGTTAATAGTGGGATTCCTCCGGGAGTACTTGAGAGCGTATTCCCACACAATATACACATCACCCTCAACATGGAATTGGCCAAATATCCCAATGCGGGAAACACCTGAACAAAGAGTGTTGAGACACAGTAAGGCTTTCCTGCATAAATAACACTGTTATTATACTCTGCTCTGCTGGAAGCGAGAATTCTAGGAGGACATTTATTTTCCCCGAACACAATACAACCGACATACGACTGGCGTTAAAATGAAAACAAGGATTGACAACAAAACTCCTCCACTGCTGGCCCCGAGCGAGCAAGCGATTGAGCGAGCGAGCATGTAAATAAGCGCGAGTGGAATGAGCGAGCAAGTAAACGAGTTCGTGAGCGGTTCAGTGACTGCGCGAGTCAGCGAGCGCCGCGGGCAAGTCGGCGAGCGATTGTGCAAGCGAGTGTTAGTTACCATCTGGGGTGGGGTGCCCAAGGCCATCTCGATGTAGTATCCCTGCCCAGGTTTCCCTCGCAGGTTGTCGAGCATGCCGGGGACGTTCAGAGCCTCGGCTCCCAACGCCAGCGCGTCCCCATCCTCCGGTGGCCGCGGCGACGCCTTCGCCGGCACCACCCCCACCAGCTCCTCCTGCAGGGCGACGGCCCTCGGCTGGACGTGCCGATTGTACGCGGTGGAGCTGGCGGCGAGGCGGCGAGACACCAGGCGCTCCGTCCTCAGCGGAATGCGCACGGAGCCGACCTACAGGTGGGACGATGGAGAAGGCGGGGAGGAGGATTCCACAACAGTTCATCTCACGGGACTCGCACGGCACAGACTAAAATTGACAACGAACACACTCTTTGGTTCCATTGGGTAAAGTCACGTAGGTGAAAATAAAATAACAAAAAATCACGACGTTTCGGCCACAACACAAGCGGCCTTCATCAGGTGAAGGGACGAGACTGTCTGGAGGAACTAGCAGTCACGAAAGCTTTAAATCTAGAATTGACAACGAACGCCAAGAATTCACCTCGCCCAATCTTGTCAGACCTGGGAAGCTAAGGAAGGTTAAGCCTAGAGAGTGCTCGGATGGAGGGCCGCCACACACAAAATTGGGTGTTATAGGGCAATGGCGTTGGTAGCAGAGACAAATTAACTGCCGTACTGTACAACGATGCCCACACGTATATGCCCGCCGCATTCGCCAACCTGCACCGACCAGCGTGGTGAATTATGGCCAGTGAGAGTCTGCTGCTCATACGGGCTCTTTGATATAAAAAAAAAAGAACACGTATATACAGGCTATATAACAAGCCAACATTTTAGACAATGGCCCCTGTTTAGAGCAAAAGATCCAGCGAGCAAAAATGTCTACAGTATGAGCCGAGTGTTAACCTTTATGGTGTATACATTTCTCTGCTACAGCAATAATGAAAAAAGGTTAGACTTATATATACTCCTGCCAGAAGAACCATCTATTCATCTTTCTTGAATACAAATGTCCATTGCTTAAACAGACTGGGAGTAGAATGCAGCGTGTAGTAATGGTTTACTTTTAAGGAAAACATCATCCTGCTTATTTTGGAATCACTGTGTATGCTATATCACTCTCTCGCCCCCGTAAAGCAAAGGGCAATCACAAACTATCCCAAGGTACGTTTTTTTCAGTTTGGGCTGCTGCGTGCTGGAAAATTATTTTCTCAACAGTGAATTCTTAAATTCCTGAACAAGTCCCGCTTCCCAGTGGGTGTGTGGCTCAGAAGCTTGAGAGAACAAAATGCTGAGCACGCGAGCCCAACCCAGAAAGGTCGCATTTGGATGACAATTTGGCTGTGGAAACTTGCGCCTTAAGCGCACGACTGCCATTTGTGTCTACAAATGTGAACACAAATGTACGTCAATTGAGCCCTGCTGGGCTTTTAACACCAATGTTCTGAAAGGCAGCACATTTTTTTGTGTCGAGACGAGCACTGGAAATATTTCCAAATTCTGTGTCGGTCGTGTTAAATAAATTCAGTCGTTACCAGGTGTTATCAATGGCAGAGCCAGGATTTTCAGGTAGAGGGGGGGGGCAACCCCTCCAGCAATGAAAAATGATAGAGGAGTTGTTAGTATTCTTGGTTCTTTCGGTAAAGTCACGTAGAAGGGAAACAATAAAATAATAAAAATATAAAACAATAAAATTCTCACGACGTTTCGACTGCAACACAAGCAATCATCATCAGGAGACTTTACCGAAAGAACCAAGAATATGAATCCCTGCAGTCACGAAAGCTTTAAATCAAAATTTGAGTTGTTAGTAAGGACTAGTCCCTTGCTTTTTATTCGACGCGTGTGCGGTGATGGCGCAGCCATCGATCGAGGGTCGACTGCGAACCGCGTTGTGTGATCGGCATCGCGCTCGCTGAAGGTGAATGCCTTCAGGGAAGTCGTGGACTGTTTACGCAAATGCGCACAATTCTGAGTCACTTATAACTGCTTTGCCGTTACTTATTGCCAATTATGGACTCAGACTATTGTCCAATCATCTCATAGAGTCCCTGGCACATAATAATATGCTACGCAGTGGCAGTGGGGGTCGCAAAATGCAGATTTATTACTAATAAACCCCAATGATCCGATCGAAATTAGGGATTTCGATCGGATCATTGGGGGGGGGGGGGGGGCACGTGCCCCCCCCCCCCCACTGGCTCCGCTAGTGGGTGTTATTGGCAAGAGAGGTCCATACACACTTGCGTGGAATCCCGTTGAGAGACATCCAAAGGAATATTAATCCAGAATTTTCGGTCAACATTTCACGGGGCATCTGAATTTTGGGTCATGCTCCACTTTTCAGAGATTATTTTGTTGCACCAGATGGGACATCGCGAGGCAAGGGGATGCGCCTCAATTTGCTCAGTGACCAACCGCGTCAACAAAATGACAAAAGGCAACAATGATGGCAATTACAATTTGTGTAATCGATGGTACTCTCGTTCTTACTACGTCCATCACAATGTACTCGGCAAACTCCGTACAATTTACCCGTCTCAAAAATGGTTGCAAGGCGGTAATTGGTGAACGAAAATTTCTAACCAACTCAACCAATTTGGCCCATTTACCTCCTCCTCCTCCTCCTCCCCCCACACTCCCCGATGCGCGGTTGAATTATAATGCGCAGTACTTCATCGGCGTAATTACAGCAATGAAAATGAAATGGTCACACAACAGCCTCGCGATAAACCGCGGGTTGGGTGAAAGCAACACGCACATTTAAGCACTATACAATTAGCGCGCTTGGATCCGTCAACAAAGGGACGAGGTTTCAAACTGCGTATTTCTCAACATGCACAATTTTACGATTGAAATTCAAAGGCTGGAGACAGCAGCCACGCCGTTGGATCAGTCACACAGTCAACACCTCTCCTTTGTGAACGCGCGATTGGATCCAATGCTCAGCTAAATACGAACGCAAGTGTTTTGAGCTATCACCAGCATGATCATCATCGGCCGTGGTCAATCCACTGCTGGATGAAGGGCACTCCCCAAGCAGACGTGGGCCACCTCTCACCATGTTCTGCTAAGTAACAACCCGTGCCAAGCACCTGCAAACAACAGCTCCCATCTCCTCGGGCGCGTTCCAATTCTTTCGCGGCCATTCCCGTCAATCTTCACCACCACCACCACCATCATCCCTGGCCACCCTAACTCCCCACTTAATTTCGAACGCCATTATTAACCAACCCTGCGCTATTGTCCAATCCAACCGCGTTCATTTTTCGGTCGCTCAATCTAAACTTGCAAAAAAAAAATCGGTGCATATTTTTTTTTAACGTTCAACGCGACTCGCACCGATGCAGTCTGCGCACCAAATGCCACACCGTAGCAGGGTGTTAATCCAAACGTCATTCGAAGCAACGTTTATACTCGGCATAATGGGAGAGGGGCGAGGACCCGAAGCGCAATTTAAACCCACGGCCGAGCACGTGTTGGGGCCAAGCCAAAAGCCGGAGCCGCTACTACCGAACACGTTGGAGACGCGGCGCAGCGGTTAACGACCGCCGCCCGTACGGCACACGCGCGCCGCCGGTACCCTACCACGGTAATTACGGTTAAGTTGAATGTAGTGCGTCAGTCGCGCGCAGTAAAAAAAACACGCGCGCGCGCACGCACCTCGGCCAGGCCGCTCACCGCCTCGCACACCACCGCCGCAGCCACCGCCGCGACCAGAAGCAAGTCCCGCATCGTCGGCGCGTTCGGCGGGCGCGATGTTGTCACGATCATAGTTTTACAAAAAAAACTGCCGCGGAAAACGGGAGATTCGTCCGTCAAAAAGAGAGCTCGAACAGCTCTCTCGACGGGCCCCTTGCTAGCCCCTTCGGTTCGGACGTAGCGCCCCGAGCCCAGCGCCGTGAGCCCAGCACCGCTCTCGCCTAACGCCGGTGCCGGCCGAGGCTCTCCGTGGCCCCGCGGGGACCTCCCCGTCCAGAGCCGTTGTCCCGCGGCGTCCGGCCGAGCGGCCGCGATTTTGCCCCTCGGTTCTACGGCACCGCAAGCTGTGAGCGGCGAGCGAAAGACAGCGGAGACTGAAGATGGGAACCCCCCCCACCCCCCGTGGGGACCCCGCCCCTCGCTCCGCCCTCCCCCTCGATCCCCCGCTCGTCGATCTCCCCTCCCCCCTCGCGGCGCTTTTACAAAGTGTACCCAATAAGACGTCCGCCTGCACTCTCGTCTCACTACTCCACACACTCTGCCACCTCTCATCTCACGCCACGCACTCTCCCACCTCTCATCTCACTCCACTCCCCTCCACGCACTCCCCTACCTCTCATCTCACTCCACTCCCCTCCACGCACTCCCCTACCTCTCATCTCACGCCACTCCCCTCCACGCACTCTCCCACCTCTCATCTCACTCCACTCCCCTCCACGCACTCTCCCACCTCTCATCTCACTCCCCTCCCCTCCACGCACTCCCCTACCTCTCATCTCACTCCACTCCCCTCCACGCACTCCCCTACCTCTCATCTCACGCCACTCCCCTCCACGCACTCTCCCACCTCTCATCTCACTCCACTCCCCTCCACGCACTCCCCTACCTCTCATCTCACTCCACTCCCCTCCACGCACTCCCCTACCTCTCATCTCACTCCACTCCCCTCCACGCACTCCCCTACCTCTCATCTCACTCCACTCCCCTCCACGCACTCCCCTACCTCTCATCTCACTCCACTCCCCTCCACGCACTCCCCTACCTCTCATCTCACGCCACTCCCCTCCACGCACTCTCCCACCTCTCATCTCACTCCACTCCCCTCCACGCACTCTCCCACCTCTCATCTCACTCCCCTCCACGCACTCCCCTACCTCTCATCTCACTCCACTCCCCTCCCCGCACTCCCCTACCTCTCATCTCACGCCACTCCCCTCCACGCACTCTCCCACCTCTCATCTCACTCCACTCCCCTCCACGCACTCCCCTACCTCTCATCTCACTCCACTCCCCTCCACGCACTCCCCTACCTCTCATCTCACTCCACTCCCCTCCACGCACTCCCCTACCTCTCATCTCACTCCACTCCCCTCCACGCACTCCCCTACCTCTCATCTCACTCCACTCCCCTCCACGCACTCCCCTACCTCTCATCTCACTCCACTCCCCTCCCCTCCACGCACTCCCCTACCTCTCATCTCACTCCACTCCCCTCCACGCACTCCCCTACCTCTCATCTCACGCCACTCCCCTCCACGCACTCTCCCACCTCTCATCTCACTCCACTCCCCTCCACGCACTCCCCTACCTCTCATCTCACTCCACTCCCCTCCACGCACTCCCCTACCTCTCATCTCACTCCACTCCCCTCCACGCACTCCCCTACCTCTCATCTCACTCCACTCCCCTCCACGCACTCCCCTACCTCTCATCTCACTCCACTCCCCTCCACGCACTCCCCTACCTCTCATCTCACTCCACTCCCCTCCACACACTCCCCTACCTCTCATCTCACTCCACTCCCCTCCACACACTCCCCTACCTCTCATCTCACTCCACTCCCCTCCACACACTCCCCTACCTCTCATCTCACTACTCCACGCACTCTCCCACCTGTCCCCTCCAATCTCACTCTACCCCCGTCCACGAACTATCCACTCTGGCAACCAATGTTTTCTGCCAAATCCCGCAGTCAACTTTTGCCGAGCGGGAGGTCAATCTTTTTCCCGTCTGGAACACCCCTGTATGCTGTTGTCTCTCTGCCCATGTTTCAGTCCCATCTCATAGACATTCCCTTTCATTCCTGCCCATGACTGAATGCCCCTCTCTATAAATGTCAACTGAAGGCCCGTCCAGCATCTTCAAATTTGGTCACACGTACACGCTATATACAAATCCACGTATTGAACAAGGTATCTGGTAATACTGTGTTGGCAGTGGTGCAAATGCACAAACAACAAATCCAACACATTTGTCATGTTCACTTGGGCCTTGAAGGGAAATATATAATTGGTGACGTTTTGGATGATTGCCCTTCTTGATAGAGAGCAAATTGGCCACTCGAGCATTGGGCTAGTACATTTTAGAACAGTTTCCCGATGAACAGGTTTTACATTGACATGTGAAATCAATCCAATAGCAAATATATAAGAGACAACGCCCGACTATGTACGGTGCATTAACAATATACAAGAAGAGGCGATGTCCACGCACATGTCATAAAATGATGAGCACACATAGCCCCACAAACAGCCACGCCTCCTTAAGAGCTTATAAATAGCAGAATTCTGATAAATAATTATCATTGGTGTTCTATTTCAATTGAAGCCCTTTGAGATTCATTATCTCTCGCAAGAAACACCAGCAGTGAGACTTGGGATTCATTATCACTTTTTATAGGATGCTAGAATGAACAAAGTTCTTTAAGGGCAGGGATATCATTATTTATTTATTTCTTAGGTTTGCCTTTTTCCCCAGTGTCATTTGTTAATGAGACAGAGGGCCCGTTTGGAAAGTTTGCAGGACAGTGAACCTGTGTGTCAGAGAATGCCTACAGAAGACTTAAGTTTAACAGACTTCTCCCAATAAACTATTCAATGACCCTTCTCATTCATCACGTCTTGGGGCTCATAAAATCCCCAATACCCTCTTTACCATGTTATGAGATTGTTTGTCGCACGACGGTCAAACGAAACGCGATGGTGTTTTTGTGCATGTATTTGTGACCAACATAACACCATCAACTCACGACATCCGAGAACATGTTTAATCACACATGCGATGTTGTGTGATACTGCATTGGCGGTGGTGTATACAAAAAAAAACATTCGTCAATAATACCATCATGAAAGCAACACGTGTAATAGGCGATGTTTCAGGCAATGGCACTTCTTTCATAGCAGAAATCGTTTTTAATGATAGGCTGTCCTGATTAAAACCCAGGGACATCAGCAGGGCTGGCTGGCTCTGATCTCTGACCTCTTGCCACCTCCCAGCTATGAAATTGGGAGCACGCAAAAAGTCCATCCTCGTTCGGTGATGTTAAAGTATTTAACATGTGATGTTAAAGTCTTTAACATCAACTTTTCAGCAGGATTGCACGCATTTGGTAATTACCAACAAAAGGAGCCTGAGGTTGCATTTATTTAAGTATTTACTAAAGTGCAAGTAGTCAATTGGCTTTCTGGGCACCCGCGTTCATTTACAAAAATGTGTTCTTTTGAATTAACATTTACAATATAAGCATGTATTATTTTACAGAGTTGAATTCCTATCGCATCGTTGGCCATACAAATCATTGTGAACATTACCAGTCTTATCAAAATTTAAATGCAGAGATACATTTATTTTGAGAATGCGGCACTGTGGAAAATATATTTGTAGAAAAGTCTGAATATATTTAAAAGCAAAAGCACAAAGTTCTTCTAGATATATTGGTACATTTTTTGGTTAGATCATGTGTATATAGGCCATTTCAATAGATTGTTTTTAGACCAAATATTGATGTCCTTGCTGAAAATACAATTACCTTTATTGCCATAACCAAATTATGAGATTTACAACAGACAAATGATTGAGTTACGACCATATCCGGCCTACATAAAAAAACACCACTACAGTATATGGATTATATTTTTAAGGGTCACTTAAAACACGATAATGCACGTGAATGATAAAATAGAACATTTTCTGTTTCTTTTAGTTTCACGCCTATTTTGCTTAATTTTGGATGAGCCACTAGTCCTTTACTGGCATTATTGGAGTGAGTAATGTGTGGAAAATAAAACGCCCTCTCATTAGACCACCCAGTAGTGTTTGTTCATTGCAGAAAAAGCAACCCACGCAAAACACAATCTGCTAAACCTAGCCTAATAGCGTGATAACACATTTTATCCTCTAATTTTCACTCCAAAATTACTTGTTATTTTCCTCATGTCTGCATGTGCATTTTGACCTTCATAAGTATTAATTCAGTGCCATATTTTTTTTCATCATCATCACATCATCATCAGTCATGCTCAATCCACTGCTGGATGAAGCCCCCCCCCCCCCCCCCTAAGCTGCCACCACCTTTCACAATCCTTGAATGTAACAATCCACCCAGCACCTGCACACACGCTGATTTCATCACTCCATCTCCTCAGTGATCACCCTCTTAGATGGATTTAATTCCTTGGCTCCCACTCCATTACTATGTTTGACCGATGGTCACCATCGCTTCTCGTGTTGCTTCCTGCCCAAGCCCAATTTTCTGAAACGTTTGAATGATATCATTAACCTGCATTTATTATCTAATACATGTGCTCCTCTTTCTGTCTCTCACTGTAAATTAAAACGTGCATTTCTCCATGCTTTTCTGCGTACTGTTTAACACGTAGGCTTTCGCGACCAAAATTATCCAAAATAAATCGCGTAAATATGATTGTGTCAAATTTCGATTGAAAGCTTTCGTGACTGCAGGGATCAATCTTCTTGGTTCTTTCGGTAAAATCACGTGACTTTACCGAAAGAACCAAGCATATGATTGTGTCGTTAAGCCCCCCACCATCCGACACATCCAATAGCCGACCCTTCCCTATGGCCTTCGGAGCCTGATTGGCTCGCAAGTGACAACATCAACTTTATCCCTA